CGGTTCTCTCCCTCTCCGTCTCTACGCAGCCGGAAAGTCGTCGCTTGTCTCGATCTCTCCCTCGCTGTCTCTACGCCGTCGGAAAGCCTAGATGATTTTCGATGGATCTTAGTTTATAGATGTAAGATTTTTATTTCTATGTAACTTTCTCTCTTTATCTTTTTACAAAGTATATAATGGAAATGTGTGGTGGGAGTGTTTCTTGATTTTTCTTCCTCGTGCTCATCGATTTGTCTCTGGGTTTCTTTATTTAATTTCCACTTGTTTTCTTATATGTTTTTTCTCGCTTTAATTTACGCAAGTTAATTGCATTTAATATTTTTTGACAGCCTTCGTGACCCAACTGCATATCATTTTCATCACATTACCCACATTTTCACATTCATTTCCGATTTCAAATTCAATGTACTACTTTATCAAGTTGTACATTCCACAAAAATTAAAAAAATAGATTTTAATATTATATATTGTAAGAGAATAATTAAAGGAGTATGTGTGTGTGTCTATATATGTGTGTGTGTGTGTGTGTGGGCGCGCGTGCGCGCTCCTTTAAATTTTTTTTTATTGATACGCGTCCATAGTATAAGGAATTTAATCATGTCTATATATGCTCCTTTAATTATTCTCCTTTGGTTACTGTATTGGTTCAATATATATTTACTTCCTCCGTCTCAAAGTATTTGTCTACTTTCATTTTTACACACCATCCAATACACTTCTTTAATCCATTTTATCTTGTAATTTGTATATTAAAAAATTATAGAAATTATAGACAAATCAAACAAGATCACACATGACTATATTTAGGCTTATACATTGAGAGAATTTAATGAGTCAAAGTGCTTAGATGAACAGTTCCAAAAGTCAAAAGTGGACAAAGAGAGTGTGACGGAGGTAGTATATACATACATACACACACACACACACACATATTCTCCTTTAATTATTCAGTGTTTTACTCTATCATCAATTCTCTTTTTTATTTGTCCTTGAGTTTGTTGAATTTAATCTATGAATATACTACAATATAGTAAACGTCGTTGGAGAAAGAAGGGAAATGAAAGGTTATCAACAAAAAAGAAGAATTGTAAATAAGGCGTAGAAGATGAAGAGCTTTCAAACCTTAAGTTGGAGAAGTCTTCTTACAAAGTTTACATTGCAATTGTTAAGGATTTTAAAAATGTACTGTTTCAATCTCTTTATATATTGAACTTTGTACTATAGCATAGGGGTGATAGGTCGGCTTTGGATGGGAAAAGACACACTAATCAATGAGGCTATATTGAAAAGTTGAAATATATCCATCACTTCACGGTTTTCAAAATATTTTGTAAATCCATGCAATTAATGCTTGGGTTGTAAAAAATATCATTACTTTTGCTTTATGGAGCCACGCACCACTTTATGCAGTAAAAGAAGACTGATTGGACAATACATAAAGTTGATTAGACAATACACTAATTACCGTCTACATTAGCCTTTTTATAGGCCCAAAACCGGCCCAACACAATCAAGCCCAAAGCTGTCTAATGCAGCCTTCTATTTGGATGGGAACACTGTTCAAAACTATATCCTAGCATTGTATATAGTAAGATTGTGAAAAAATTACAGTAACTTAAAATTTATAAAGTTATTTTTTAATATGAATATATACAATACGATTTTCAAAAAATAATTATTTTAATAAAAATCGGGCCATACAATAATAATAATAATAATAACCCAGTGCAGAAAATATATTTTTGAAAAGTGAGTAGACCAATTCCCACAGCCTAGGGATGGCAACGGGTCGGGTTCGGTTCGGATATACCCCTACCCGAAATCGACCCGAAATTTTGATCGGATATTTTTTTTGCCTGAACCCGAACCGTCGGGTATAAATTTCTACCCGAACCCGAACCCGACTGTCTAAACCGAAACCCGAAACCGCAACCGAACCCGAGAATTTGACAAAAACCTAAGCCTAACCCGACCTGAAAACCAACCGACCCGACTGACCGACCGACCGACCCGACCGACTGACCATACCAATATCCTAATAAATCAGTTTTTTGTAATGATTTTTATTAAAATAATGATAAATAATAAATGCATTGTAACACCCTAATCCGTCCACGTCTGCAACCCCTTTGGGACTAAAGTATTTAACTTGGTAATCGTAAAAATTTAAAACTTTTCAAACACTTTTATTTATCACAATAATATTTTTCATAACACATACAGTACGGAGTATTCAACAATATTGAGGAAGCGAATTTAATTTTGACGTATCATAAATCATTTCAAACTTGTCACATCCATCCCGACAATCTCGCCCCATCTGCCGCCAGGATCACATTAATCTTTCTGTTTACCTGCGTGTAGCAAATAAAACACACTACACGCTCAGCGGTAAAGCTGAGTAAGCATATCTAATGCGTCGAACATCCATATAAACTGAATCTAAATTCATAATCAAATCTTTTGATATCATGCACACAATGTTCGTTTCAGACATTCACAGTTTTGATATTATTCAGTTCATATCAACACATTTTATTCAATTCAGNCAACGCTCTTAGCTATTCTTAGTCTAAGGCCAGATCATAATAATGCTCTTAGCTATTCTTAGTCTAAGGCCAAATCATAACTTCCATAACCAGATTCTTTTAAGGCAATTATTGATCAGACACTTAAACTATCAGAAGTTTAAGACAATTGATTTCGGACACTTAACTGTAGTCAGTTAAGGCAATCAGACACTTAAACTATCACTAGTTTAAGGCAAACGATTTCGGACACTTAACTATAGTCAGTTAAGGCAATCAGACACTTAAACTATCACTAGTTTAAGGCAAATGATTCAGACACTTAACCGTAGTCGGTTAAGGCAACAACAATATAGCGATTGATCAACATTGGTCTATGAATCTCGTTTATACATTTTCATCTAATTCATCAAATATTCATGTTTTCATAAGTCTATTCTAATACAAGATCTATTCTAGATAGCGTTAACATCAATTAACTAATGTGTATATCTTAGAGTTCTTCTAGATACCGTTAACAATACAAATCTTTTAATAATTATCAATATATTCATTTTACTCATGGTTCAATCATCAATAATCATTTTAATAAGTTCATCATTCCTGATCATCCATAATAATCATTCATCATAATCATCAATCAAGATAACAATTGATAACAAATAGCGGCCTAGCTTCGAATGTTAACACCCGAACTTACCGTCATGCATCACATAACATTTTTATTTGTTAAAAACATCATTTTTATTATAAAGAATCATCCTTAAAATAATCATAATCAATTGGTATCAAAAATATGATTTTAGGGCTCAAAAATAGCATTTTCGGATAAATTTTCGGATCAGAAATTCGGGGGATCGATCCAGCCCTCTGGATCGATCCATATGTAGAGAAAATAGTCCCAGAGGATCGATCCAAGCCCCTGGATCGATCCAGACAGTCTGGTTTTGGTTACTGTTCATCATCTTCTTCGTTCGGGTCCAATTTCGAAAATAGCGTTTTTAGTTACCGAACTTCAACGAAACTATATAGAGATGTTCTCCAAGGTTCATGGATCATTTTGGCATCATTAATTTATAGTTTTAACATCAATTTCATGGTTTATGATTCTTGGTTCTTCAAGCATGTCAAACACAAAACTCAACCAAACGACCGTTTATGAACGTAGAAACGATCTATACGAACATTCTAGTCACTAGATATATCTACGGGCTTACCTCGAAGCTTATTGAAGGTTTTTTTGAATTTTCCGGCGAAACTTCCGGCGACGAATACTCTCTGCTCCAGCGACCTCATACAAAAGTGACAACACCAGGGCACTCCTCTCTCAGCAAAGAACAATATAGAAGCAAAATTGAATTGTTTTGGTGAAGAATGAAAGGAGTTGTGTTTGTTTATATAGTGGAGAAGAAGGGAAGAAGCCAACTCCTATTGCTTCTACGTAATTGGGATCGACTGATTGCACATGAAGGGAACATGGCGCCGTTTCATGATTAGTTCCCTGATTGTGACTAATTTGGTCCCAGTTGGGGTACACTTTTTGGTCCAACTTTCTTCGAATTGAATTCCGTTTGCACCATTGCGATCGGACAGTCGAACTCTATTCAACGATATAATTTTTATATTTAGTTGAAATACTTTTTCTGACACCATATTTTTGGGTGGTTGACTTTGACAGAGTCAAAATTGATTCAGTTGACTTTTATTCAAAAAGGTTCTCATATTTAATTCATATTAATTATTATCATGATTTATTTCAGTAAATCATTTTAAAGTTCACTACATAACTAATTTCTTTATTTATTCTTGATTTGGGTCTGTACTCAGGTTCCCAATCAAGACCACACAAATAGTCCACATATTGGATTTATCTCTATGAGACTTATCCAGATTTTGATATTAGATGTCAAAACAAATTTAATATCGGCCCAAAGCCCAACAATAATTTATTTTAAATGAAATAATTGTGATTAATTGATTATTTATTCATTAATAATTCTAGGGTATGTTTTGGGGCGTTACATGCATGTAATGATATAATTAGAATTCCAATACATAAAAATATTTGAACGTTCAAAGACATCGTAAAATTAAGATATTAAAAAGATGTGTCCAAAATAACAACCAAAACATTGAAGTATAACAAGTTTTGACAAATATTTCACAAGAGAAACAACACACATAAATATAACAAGTTTTCACAAATATTTTTCATGTCTGTAACTGGTAACTCCCGTAAGCCAAAGACTTTTAATTGAAAAAGGTTTTTTTTTATATTTTAAAAAGACCTTTTATTTCGGGTTAATTATCGGGTCGGTCGGGTACAGGTCGGGTCGGTCAAATTTAATTACCGAAAACTGACCCGACAAAAGTCGGGTTCGGTTTTAAAATCTTCGGGTCGGTTTCGGATATTTATTTTTTCGGTCGGATTCGGATATTATATACCTCTTTCGGGTCGGAAAAAGTCGGATTCGGATAAAATTGCCATCCCTACCACAGCCCAATCCATTTTTGAGATATCCTCCGTGGTATTCTCACTTCCACATATTTTCAGCCCTTTTGCCTTATCCCCTCACTAATCTACAGGTGCTCTATTCCATAGCCGGCGATGGATGCAGAGAGATCGAGCGAGACCTAGAGAGTGTGTGTGTGGTTTTCAGGGCATAGGTGAGATAAAAACTTGTCCAAATCAAGAGTAGAGATGTAGAGAAACTGGGAGATAAAGAGAGTTGGAGAGATGTATATCTTACCTGGAACATCATCCGTGAAATCGCTGGTAATCTTATTTGATTTTTTCATATAGATCTTTTTTTGCTACCTCACACTCCCATTAGGGTCCGTTTGGTATGCGGAATTCAAGCCACAAAATTGGAATTGGAGACTTTAATTCCAATTTTGATGTTTGGTATCAAAAAAATTTATAAAATTGGAATTCAATTCTAATTCCAAATTTTTCAATTCTGCATTTTTAATTCCATACCAGGATAAAAGAATTGGAGTGAATTCCACTGGTCAAAAAAACACGCGTTGGATCTAATTTTAGGCAGATCTAAACTCCCACTCCTGCGCTCTTTCTAGCTTTCTCTCTCGGCTCTCTCATCTCTCTCATCTCCATGGGTGACCCTCGCAGACATCTTGCAATTCTCCATGGGTGAGGGTGGCAACATCTGGTAATTCTCTCTCTCTATCTATCTTTAAATTTGATTCTTTTTTTAGATTTGTTTTTCAATTTGTCAAATCTTTATCAAATCGGTTGTAGTTGTTAGCTAGGATTTTAATGTCATTTTTTGAGTTATCAAATAAAGTGGTTGGGATCATAAAACAATTTCATATCAATTGTATATATAATTTTATGTTACCAAACAAAGGATTTGGAATTACAATACAATTCTATATCAATTCTTTAATTACACCAAACAAAGGATATTGAATTGAATTTGAATTCAATTCCATCCAATTCAATTCCATAGAATTCCAATTCCAATTCAATTCCGCTTACCAAACAGACCCGTAAAGTTTTTGTAGATCTGAAAATTTCTATAAATTTAATAATATTGTCAATAATTTTATAAGTTCAAATTAATGAAATAGATTAGATGTAGTCTAAATCAACAATGCATAACTTTTTTTTAGATCCTTTGATTTCGAAAATGTTTCAAGTATCTTTAATAATTATTCATAAGTTCAAAATATTTAAATAGAAAAGATTTTCTATTAAACTATGCATTTTATTTTTTAAAAAAAAAATTATTTTGGGTATAGTTTATAGCAGAAAATATATGTTAGATTTGAAATCTAGGTGATTACTGAACATTTTCACCATTACGTAATATCATTCAAGTATTGGTTTGAAATTTTGTAAGATCCAATGCTCAATAATATGGTTATTCTTTTAACATTGTTTTAATAATTCAAAATAATGAGATAGATTATAATGGGTTTAAAACAAATATGCATGTTAATAATTATTAAAAATTTATCACTATGTTTTTTAGTTTATAAGAGAATCTCTGTTATATTTTGAATTATATGTTTATTGAAAAATTTGGAATTATATGTTTAGTGGACTTATATCTTAAGGAATTTTTTTGTTTATTACACATACAATAAACGGTTGTGTATAATTTTTTTAAGACACTATATGACAGTTTATATGGTTTTGACCTGAAATATGGGAGTGTACATCAAAACACATACTCCGTATAAAGTTATTGAACCTTTTTGGACATGTTCAATTAATGTGTCTGAACATGTAAAGGTTAATTGCACATTTGAAACTCATTCTGTCAAAGTTGATTATTTTCAGGAATTTTACTAAGATAACAAATTTTACATGTCTCCAAAGACACTGTCTTCAAAGAATTAGTTCTCAAAATGTTTTTTTTTTCTGGTTTTTTAAGATGAACATGAATCCCCGTTACCTGAAAAAAATAGAAATGAGTTTCGAAAGAGCTTAAATATTGTTTAATAAACTATAATAAGAAATTATGCATTCGTCATGGCAGATGATTTCCATGGAATCCCCGCCCTTTGACCAAGCCGGAACATGATAAACGTGTATCGCTTGTAAGTTAAGAATCCATCCTGTTCGACCATTATCAATTTTCCACATTTTTTGGACCTATTGAAATGGTGTTAGTTGGAAAGAATTGTGGGTGTTGGAGTTAATAGAACTTGGGTTGGTTATATAATGCATTTAGGAGTGGTGGTAGAATATATTACATTAAATGGCCATTATAGTGTAAGATTTGTTTAATCTAAAGCATTAATTGTCCAATAGTAAATTAGAATAGTAAATTGGGCTAAAAAAGTTGTATAGCAGCCGAAAAAAGTCCTCTAGCCACCCTACAAATAGACGGCCAGGCGGCCACCACCCTATTTTTACTGTTGATAAAAATCCACTAAAAAGTTCTCTAGCCGTCCGTCCTACGAAATGCTTTCGGCCACCCTATTCTGACAGTATAACCCAACCCATTAACTCAAGCACTGCTTTTGGTCCCTGTACTTTTAGCGAACTAAATCAGTAATGGAAGCCCACAATATAACCCGGCCCAATACATCATATCCGGCCCAATAATTTTCGGCGGGAACACTATTCATTTTAGCCTCCTACCAATATAAGAAGATTATGAAGATGAAGATTGCCCTTTGGGCTCTGATTATAAAACCTATCTCCCGCCTCCTCCTCCTCACCACACTCAGTAAAACCCTACCACCGCCGTCTCATCCTCTTCTTCTTCTTCTTCTTCTTCCATCTAACTCCCCAGCAACGATGTCGGGACGTCCTCCCCTCAAGCCATCGGGCCCCCAAACTTCTCCCTCTCCGGCATCTCGGTCGCCGGCGCCAACCTCTTCATCGCAGTCTCAGTCGCCGGCGCAAACCTCTTCAACGCAGTCTCAGTCGTTGGCGCGAGCTTCTCCATCTCCGGGGCGAACTCTTTCCACGGCCAGGACTAAAAATCTTGGGGTCTATGTGCTCTAAAGAATATAAAAAAAGAGCATTTGTTTGGGAGGTCATGGATGAGTGTACAAAACTTCAAGAAATCAATGGTGAGTTCTTTCTTTAATTAATATAATTTTTATTTCACATCTTATAAAAACCTAGCTACTGCATATCCTGTCCAAAGCATTTTGGAGGCTCACAAGGTTAGTCTTCTTTTTCTTTCTTTTTTCTTCTTCTTTCTTTCTTTTTTTTAAAATAAAAAAAATGTCTTTTAAAAAGGTAAGGCCCAATAAGTCTGCACTTCATATGAAACAGTACATTTTCGATATGAAGTGCAGACTTATTGGGCCTTACCTTTTTAAAAGACATATTTTTTATTTTAAAAAAAAGAAAGAAAGAAGAAGAAGAAAGAAAGAAAAAGAAGACTAACCTTGTGAGCCTTCGAAATTCTTTGGACAGGATATGCAGTAGCTAGGTTTTTATAAGATGTGAAAGAAAAATTATATTAATTAAAGAAAGAACTCACCATTGATTTCTTGAAGTTTTGTACACTCATCTATGACCTCCCAAACAAATGCTCTTTTTTTAAATTTTTTAGAGCAGATAGACCCCAAGATTTTTAGTCTCGGCCGGGGAAAGAGTTCGCCCCGGAGACGGAGAAGCTCGCGCCGGCGACTGAGACTGCGATGAAGAGGTTTGCGTCGGCGACTGAGGCTGCGATGAAGAGGTTTGGCCAACGACCGAGACGCCAGAGAGGGAGATGTTTGGGAGCCCGATGGCTTGAGGGGGAGGACGTCCCGATATCGTTGCTGGGGAGTTGGATGGAAGAAGAAGAGGATGCGGCGGTAGGGTTTTACGGAGTGTAGTGAGGAGGAGGAGGCGGAAGATAGGTTTTATAATCAGAGCCCAAAGGGCAATCTTCATATTCTTCATATATTGGTAGGAGGCTAAAATGAATAGTGTTCCCGCCGAAAGTTATTGGGCCGGGTTATATTGTGGGCTTCCATTACTGATTTAGTTCGCTAAAAGTACAGGGACCAAAAGCAGTGTTTGAGGTAATGGGTTGGGTTGTACTGCCAGAATAAGGTGGCAGAAAGCATTTCGTAGGACGGCTAGAGAACTTTTTAGTGGATTTTTATCAACAGTAAAAATAGGGTGGTGGCCGCCTGGCCGTCTATTTGTAGGGTGGCTAGAGGACTTTTTTTGGCTGCTATACAACTTTTTTTGAGCCCAATTTACTATTCTAATTTACTATTGGACAATTAATGCTTTAGATTAAGCCATTTAATGTAATATATTCTACCACCACTCCTAAATGCATTATATAACCAACCCAAGTTCTATTAACTCCAACACCCACAATTCTTTCCAACTAACGCCATTTCAATAGGTCCAAAAAATGTGGAAAATTACGAGCTTGGTCAAAGGGTGGGGATTCCATGGAAATCATCTGCCATGACGAATGCATAATTTCTTATTATAGTTTATTACTCCCTCCGTCCTGAAATGTTCTTCCCACTTATTATTCACACGGTCAAACTTTAATCAATTTCTTTACCTATTTTCGTTTCGTATTTGATAAAATAATATAGTCTTGTCACCACTTGTTTTGTAGAACTTTTGATGTAGTTTTTAAATATATAAATTTTATTTTTTAATTTTACACCTACAATCAAATAAATTGAATTAAAAATAAAGTTGGTCAAACTCCGTAAACAGAACTGAGAAGAACATTATAGGACGGAGGGAGTAAACACTATTTAAGCTCTTTCGAAACTCATTTCTATTTTTTTCACGTAACGGGGATTCATGTTCATCTTAAAAAACCAGAAAAGAAACATTTTGAGAACCAATTCTTTGAAGACAGTGTCTTTGGAGACCTGTAAAATTTGTTACCTCAGTAAGATTCCACTCTCGCCCTCTCCAATCGGAAGTCTGGCACTTCTGACCAATCGGAAGTTGGTACTTCAGAACAATCGGCAGATGCTGTCTGTCAACCCCATTCCAGGTGATAGCATATTTCCTTAGATGACATCTTCATAAATTGATTTAACTTCTAATTTAATTGTTTCACCTGATGTTTGTGAAGAATCCACTAAACAATAATTGAAGAATCTGTAAATGAATATATAAAACCTGTAAATTGAATCTACAACAATTCACCAAAAATGGTTTTTTTAATCTTACGAAGGTGGATATTGGATTTGTACCATTGTAAGAAATTATTCAATTTGCAGAACTTTCCAAATCTAAATAGAAGGTGGACAGTGATGTTGTAAGAAACTATTCTAAAATGATTTGCGTAAACAACTGGAATGGTCACCAATAAAAATTTGAGCTCAGTTTAAGCATTGAATCGGTCCTTTCGATCTGGACCGGTTCGGTCCATATGATTTCGGTCCGGTCCGGTCCAGAACCGAGTACATATAGGTCCGGTCTTCGGTCTGAGTTTTGACGTATTTCGGTCTTCGGTCCGGTCCAGTTTCAGACCGATGAACAGTCCTACCTCCTTGTCCGGGTTGTATTAACAAATCACAGTCCCGTTGTCCTCTATGATCATATTATGAAGAATAATACATGCGTACATGATATTCTATATTTTCGTTTGAGAATAATATTTCGATGGTTGATCTAGAATGTGTCATTTACCCTTCAAGACCCCAAAGGCTCGTTCAATATCCTTTCTCGCCCCCTCTTTAGCTTTTTTGTAGGTGTGGCGTTTAAGACTCATTGGTTCAGAGAGGGATTTGACAATCGTGGAATAATTTGGATATATTTTATCGGCCAAATAATATCCACACTTGTAAAACGTCCCTCTAAGCTCAAAAGACGAGTCGAGTGCGGACTCATTAATCTAATCGTCAAAAATAGCTGATTGATCGAGAACGTTGATTTTCGTTGTTCGAGCCCGTGACACCGAAAAAAGTGTGCCAAATGCACAAGTCATTTGAAGTAACAGCTTCGAGCATGATAGTAGGCTTGGGATGATCTCCCTGGGAGAATTGACCATGCCACGTAGTGGGACAATTTTTCCATTCCCAATGCGTGCAATTAGTTCTCCCAAGCATGCCGACAAAACCGTGTTTAGCGGCATGCCTTCTCTGTAACTGCTGAATGTCACTCGCTGTAGGCTTGCGTAAATATTTTTATGATAAATTTGAATAATAGCTTTAGAAAGTTTATAAACACAGGACCTGATGCTCCGAGCCGACATCTTCATGTATTCGTCGAACATATCAGATGTCGTCATGTACGCCAACTGACGGAGTGCAGCAGTGCACTTCTGGACCCTACTAAACCCGCGCCGGCCTCTCGCATCAAAGCGTTGGGTGAACCAAGGAACCTCGCGTTCAACATCGGCGAGTATGCGTAAAAAGAGAGGACGACTCATCCGAAAACAATTTCTAAAATCCTCCGGTGTATAAACCACGGATTATTAAAGTAGTCGTTAAAAGTGAAGCGTGGGCGGCCGCTCGATCCCAGTTTAAACGTTGTCGTCAGGTCTATCTTTGGAAGGATTCAGCTTCTTCTTCTTCGCCTTCTTCCCACCATTGAAAACAACTCGTGGCGAAGCAACGAAAAATGAGAGCTCTTTTTTCATTGTCGGATAAAGATGATCCTATTTTTAAAATATATTTTATAAATATTTATAATAAATAATAAATATTTTAGAGAGAAGATAGTGAGAAATGTGTGAGAGAAAGATTTTTTAGGGGAATTTATAGTTTTTTTTTAAATTTAGATTTTTTTTTATTTGGGGGGGGGGGG